TCTATCTCCATGCATCTATATGCCACCATTACATGTCACTAACTTTGTGTCTCCTCTCTCCCGTAGTGTGTCCTCTCTCCCTCCCTATATCTTTCTGCAGGTGTCCCTGGCTCTAGAGCTGTAGGTTTCTGATGAGCAGTCACTGGCCACATCAACAGACCAGTGCTTGATTTTTTTGTTGTTGTGTTTGTTGTGTCTTGTTGTTTTTCTTTTCTTTTGTTTCTCCTCTATCCACTCACCCCAACTGATCGAGGCAGAAGGCCGCCCATCGCTCTTGATGGAGGTTTCTTCATTTAAATAAAGTTTTTCCTCCTCACTGTGGCCAAGTGCTGCTCAAGGGGGATTTGTTGGGTTTTTCCTCTATAACAATATTAATACAAGTAAGGTCTAGACCTTACTTGGTAAAGTGTCCTGAGATGACTTTTGTTGTGGTTTGGTGCTATACAAATAAAACTGAATTGAATTGAAGTAAAGACCTCAGAGCCCTGCTGGGTTTGTATTCATCAAGATAATCATATAATTTTTTTAAATACATTTTGTATACAGCCATATATAATGAAGTGCATTAAGCTTTTTAATTATTTTAGATATCTGGGTCCCTCTGACAGTCTGGGGACAAGACAAAACTAAGAAGAAGAAGTAGCTTTATTTATTGTAACACATATAACAAAATTTTGTTTGGAGCCAGGGGGCCCCGGGCCTCTGCGTGCATACGTGCCACCATCACGAGCAACTTGGGGGGTTTAGTGTCTTGCCCAAGAACACTTTGACATGTGGACTGCAGGCACCAAGATTTGAACCTCCAACTTTTCATTTGGCAGATGACTGCTCTACCCACTGCACCACTGTCGCCCCCTGTGAGATTAATTGAAAAAGACCAGCTCCAAACTCCTCAGGTCTCCAGAGGTTACATTACTGATTTCGTCCAAAACTGGTGTGGCCTTGGTTTTCACCAAGGCATGATGGGAGAATGGAAGACTGAACTGAGAGAACATTTCTCAGGCCTTCCAGACTTTTAACTTTTCCTTAGTTTGACCAAGCACATGGAAAGTAGCTACATGACTTGTTAACCTGTTTTCATCCCATTGTTGCATCATTGCACTTTAATTGTTGAACATCTGAGATTGGCCTGGGGCCTCAGTGGGTTAGAGGTGCTGCTTTGTAGTCATTAGGAGAGAGATGAACGGACTGATAAGACACTTCTTATGGTTGTTTTGCTGTTTGGTGATAAAACCCCAACTTGATCTCAGCGTTTCTGTGTGTACAAAGTTGCATGTGTTTGTACATGATAGAGGTTATGTCATGTGCTGTTGTGATTGAAAATTGGCCTAAAATGTCTTGTTTACATATCATCTGCAAAATATCTGGATACAGTTTTGATTTATCAGTGAAAGTTCTTCCAAAATCATTATCAATTATTACAGTTCACTGCTTAGATCCATATTGAGACAAACATCAACAGTGGATTCAAGACAAAGTTTAATTTTTAGCAATGGTGAACGTACGCAGCCCTGTGGGGAACCAGTTGAAGCGTGCTGGAGGCCAGAAAGAATGTTGTTAATCAAAACCTTCTGTGACCTGTTGGTTAAAAAATCCAACAGCCACAGAATAAGCCGATCTTCCAGGCCAAAGCATGTAGAGAGCTTGATGGCCAGTAGGTGAGGCTGCAGGCTGTTGAAAGCCAAGGAAAAGTCAGCAAACAGGAGTCTGGCTGAAGTTTCGAGAGATTCCAGATGTTTGTGTACGGTGTCCAAGATGAAAGTTTTTGCATCATCCACTCCTCTACCTGCACGATAAGCAAATTGAAGTGGGTCCATCAGAAAGTCTGTTGCTTTGATAATATGTTGTTTGATTATCTGCGCCATAGCTTTTATTGGTAGTGAAGTGAGAGACACAGGTCTCAGATCGTTCAATGTTATTTTTCTTAGGGATAGGAATAACTATGGAGTGTTTCCAAAGCTGAGGAACTGTACCACTGTCCAGTGATCTCTGAAACAGGGTCTGGAACACACTACCTAGTTGCTGTGCACAATGTTTTAGGGTTCTTCCGTGACGTAGTCTGGTCCAGGTGAGCTGCTCTCCCTGGTTTTCTTGAGAGCTTTCACAATGTCCTGAATAAGGAAAGTAAATGACTGTAAGCTATTGGGATTGAATGTTGATATTATTTTCTCAAGCTGAGTAGTGTGATCTGACTCGAATCTAGTGTAAAAGGAGTTAAGGTCATCAGGGAGGGATGTATGAGAGCTCATGTGAGATTCATGTACGCTTAAGGAACAATCTTGGACTTTTATTTTGAAAATCCAGCATGCTATAGGTCAGGGCTGTCCAATACATTGATCGTGATCAACCAGTTGATCGCAAAGGTAGTGTCGGTAGATCTCGTGTCAATATAATGAGCTTAGTTAATGCTTTCAAACGAAAAATGCAACATTTTGCGGAACTTCCTCGCATCAGAGCTGGAGACGCAATGGAAAGCATGTGCACAACTTGACATTGCATGCTACACAGAGCAGATTGACAATTGTCGGTCAGAGTTTGACAAATGCTTTCAAGACTGCCTCACTTGAGCCAGTCTCTACATTTATGTGCTACCCATTTAGGGACGATATTGAGGTTGATTCACTCACATCAAAAATTGCAACGCTGTTTCACCTGAACTGGTCTGGAGTGGAGGATAAGATATTGACACTATAGACTGACATTCAGCTGAAGTCCAGGGCTAATGGACCATTTTGGAACTTACAGAGGAAAAGTACCCAAACTGTTAGGTTACGCTCGACACAAATGTGAGCGAGCGGAGAAATTAACAGACCCAGGCGGCTGGCTTCGGTGCAAGTGGTGATTTATTTACAATAGTGCAATAATATATATACAATGTGAAGGTGTGAATACAACCGGGTGTCGACCAGCAGTAGCAGTAGTTATTGTCCGTGGTGTGATGATGGGCCGGGCTGCAGGGGTAGGAATCACTCCTGAGCTGGTCGTAAGTAGATCCGGTAGAACTGAGGAGGTAATGTGGGAGTTCAGTTAAGAGGAGACCTGTGAAGGTGGCTGGTGGAGCTGAGGGTGCCAGGATCCAGAGAAGAGGTCCAAAGATACAGACGGGAACTAGGAATAAACAACATATGAAGAACAACTAGAAATAAGCAAAGTACAATCTAAGGAAGGCTGATGACAAAGAAAGAACTAGCAAGGGAGTGATGGTTAAGCCTTGGTTCTACTTATTTGTGTGAGTCAGCATTTTCTCACATGAAGATTATTAAGTCCAAATACCGCTCCATCATGACTGATGACCATTTGCTGGAGGCTGGCTACCAGCAGCTACTGTCCAGAATATGCAGCCCTGGCTGATTCCATTCAGTGCAAGTCATCAGAGTAAACTAATGACCAAAAAATGTACTGAACTGTAGTGTGCCTTAAGGTTCATGCAGTTATGCAAGGTGCGCCAACATATATTGTATTTACATAAGGGATACTCCGTATATAAATAAATATATGTTTAGTATTTGTGAAGTCCCAGACTACTTCTCGAGTCCAGATAGTGGAAAGAATTTCAGTCACACACAAATATCAAAGTGCACTTATTACCTTTTATTGCAGATATATCTGGAGATCATACAGCAAGCAGCAGGGCAGATGATCTGAAGATGAAACTCACCCAGACTGTGTGTTTTATAATATTCTCCCCTAATACACAGCTGCACCTTATACGCCTCCCCGAAACCAAAGTACATTCTTGTGATAAGAAAAGCACACACACCATGATTTAACGAGCATTCTGTAAGATTGTGAAGATTATATTATTAAAACTTATCCTTATAAGTGCATTCCATGAAAAACAGTGGAGTGTTCCAGACAACTTTATATCCCACTGTGTAATCATTTACTTTCCCTTAGGTTACTCCCTTAAAACAGAGCTGTGCTAGGCACAACTCCCCAGAAGTGCATTTAATAATGAGTGAACACGCTACAACTATGTGAAGGTTATACTTTTATCTCATAATGCAGTGTCTTATTACAGTAACAATTTCTAAACTATGTTAGTGCTTTAGTTATATAGCAACCCAAATACTTCAATATTTCACATATTTTAACTGTAGATAGATCATTTTGACTTGGTCATTTGAAAAATAGCTCACAAGGCAAAAAAGTGTGGGCACCCCTGCTATAGATCATTCATGTGAGCATAATTTGCAATCAGGGGCTTTTACTTTGAAATCTATTTTCATTTTGGGGCCTTCATGTAATCTTAATGTGCAAGCTGGCCTTTTATTGTGAAAATCTGGCATGTTTTGGGGCCCTTATGTGAGCTTAAGAAAAAATCGGCTGCTTTTATTTTAAAAATCCAGCACATTTTGGGGTCTTAATGTGAGCTTAAGGAACAATCAGGGGCTTTTATTTTGAAAACCCAGCATGCTAAAGGTCCTTTGTGTGAGCATAATTTGCAATCAGGAACTTTTATTTTGAAATAAAATTTTTTGTTTGGCATGTTTTGGGGCCCTTATGTGAGCTTAAGAAGCAATTTGATGCTTTTATTTTGAAAATCTGGCATGCTTTGGGGCATCCATTTAAACAACCTGTAATCTGGGGCTTTTACTTTGAAAATTTGGCATGTTATGGGGCCTTTATGTGAGCTTAAGGAACAATCGGCTACTTTTATTTTGAAAATCCAGCACGTTTTGGGGTCTTCATGTGAGCTTAAAGAACAATCGGGCTTTTATTTTGAAAACCCATGCTTTGGAGCTATGATATGCAACCTAGTAATTTAAAAAACAGATCAATGTCTTCACTGTTTTTATTTTTATTATTTTGCACCAAATTATGGAGAGATGTAATAATAAGAATACTGCTAAGTATCAGCATTGATAAACAGTTTCAGTATTGGTAAAATCCTAACAATACCTGTCTAACAGGGGGTGAGAGAGGAGGTCTCTTTTTCTTTAGGAATGTATATGTGATAATGTAACGAGAGAAGCCCTCCTCCCTCTCAGTCAGGGCTCTTAGTCGTCTTCTTAAAAGCTAAAAGTTCTGAAGTAGGGATTCTATTGGTTGAGGAAATTAAATATTCATAAGCTTTTATAAACATTTGTCTCTTGCAAACCTGTCAGGGACACTTGTTTTGTGACATGCGATTTCTTACATTTCTTACGTGCCTTACATGATTTATTGGTTTTAGTGATTTACACTTTAGGTTTGAGAAGCTTGATGGATGATAACTTAAATGTTACATATATAACTCTTAGTGGGCATGTAGAAGTGCATAAATACAGATATCTTTATTTTGTCATCATGTTTACAGCATATTTTCTAATAATCTGCATTAATTCCACAATCGTGTGTCTCATAGTGATTCACAAAAACCTCCATGAGCCCATGTACATTTTTATTGCAGCTTTGTTGATCAACTCTGTACTTTACAGCACTAATATCTACCCAAAGCTGTTGATCGACTTTTTGTCTGAAAAACAGATCATAACTCATTCGCTCTGTCTTTTTCAAGGTTCTGTACACTACACTATGGCCGGTTCCGAGTTCTCACTGTTGTCAGCCATGGCCTATGACAGATATCTGTCTATATGTAAACCTCTGCAGTATGCAACTATCATGAGAAAAACTGTTGTAATTGTCTTTCTGGTTTTAGCTTGGTTTGTGCCTACTTGTGAACTTGGAGTGTTAGTTGCTTTGTATGCTAATATAAAACTCTGCAGTTTTACTTTGAAAGGAATTTTTTGTAACACTTCATTTTACAATCTTCAATGTGTACGTTCAGTCACAATATCTATATATGGTCTGTTCATGTTGCTAAATATTGTACTGTTCCCTGTCCTTTTCATATTTTTTACATACACCAGGATACTTATTGCATCGTACCGAAGTAGTAAAACATTCAGGAGAAAAGCTGCACAGACCTGTTTACCTCACCTGCTGGTTTTAATCAATTTGACTTTTTTTATTACTTATGATGTCATTGTAGTTCGGCTGGAATCAGATATTCCAAACACTACCCATTTAATAATGGCTTTACAAATGATTGTGTATCATCCTCTTTTTAATCCAATTATATATGGGTTAAAAATGAAAGAAATCTCTAAACACCTCAAGAGGTTATTTCAGGTCAAATCGCACTAATATATCCAATCATTTCATTTGTAGTCATAACGCAGAGATGTGGTTTTCATGTCAGGGATTCAATATTTATTTTTTTTTATGACTGATGCACTGCACTATAGAATATCATATTACAGACATTCACGTGACATTTATATTAGTATCTTTGACATGAATTGTATTGATGAAGTTTATTAGTCACAAAGTGAAGATAAATATTTTAAATGTTAAAAATCTAAACTCTTTATCATGTTAATGATTAATGTTTTGAGTATTAATAGGTTTAAACAGCACGTGCCAGCATGTCACTAAATAATATTTTTTATTCTTTTTTTTGTTTGTTGCAGTTTACAATTCACCACTGTAGAATGCAAGCAGTAAGATAATTTTACTAATAAATATATTGTACATATGACTAGCCGTACATTCCACACCACTGCTTATTAATAGTTTTTTCGGAATTGTTTGCACATTTTATACACTATATAGATTGAAAGGTTAAAAAAATTTAATATTTAAAATTAAGAAATATATTTAAATGTTTAATTTGAGATAGGATTTTCATATTGAATTGTTGTACTGTGGACTATAGTAATACGAGTTATAATAATGTAATTGTTCACATGATAGTTTATGATTTTATATTTTACTAAAGCTTGAGAAAATGTGTCTGTACATAGTGCAAGTATATTCAATGTTCAACAAGTGAAACGCAATGAAAAGCTAACTCCAACTATTTCAGGCCCAGAGGTTAAGTTTACTTGTCATGAGTACTACTACTCATTCAGTGAAATCTTCTGTTTTGTTCTTAGAAAATACAAATCCATAATTCAAAGCCTGACAAACTGAAGAGGTGGGTTTTAAATCAAATGGACAATTAAACCATGCAGAGAGTTCAACCAAAAGATGGCATTGGCAGCACTGTAGGAAATGTATTACAGAGGATTTAGTTTTATTATTTATTTATTTTGACTACCCTATCTTTATGAAGTTCAGTACTATATCACGAAGGTCCCCTGATTAGGAGAGCTTCTTGGAATGAATAATTTAATTAAAAAAAAAACTGTGCTGTTGGAAAAGGGTGTGTAACTTTCTTAATAGATTGAAAAAGCAATCAAAGCACTCATCTCTAAAAAAGTTCAAATATCTTTATGATACTAGCAAGCTTTATAAGTAGAACATAAATAAAAAGTTTTGTTTGCTTTGCACAAAAGTGCAATTTGGCATTTAGCTTTCAGGAAGTTACAGACAGAAAAAAAACATGGTAAGGCAGAATAAAGTAGACAGAGTAAGTTACAAACAGGTGAAATCATTTAGTAATCAAGACACAACCAGACCAGGTTTTTAAGGTTAGATCTACATTTGGACCATTTCTTGTAAAATATTTCTTGTTCAAAGGTTATCCACATGTGTGCATAGATTTGGTTAGGTGGTGATACATTTATGCAGTTTATGTATGGTTTTCATATGGACGTATACAGTATATTTAGATGTTTCACAGTGTCCTATATTTTGATATATACAGTGAGGAACAGAAGTATTTGAACACTCTGCGATTTTGCAAGTTCTCCCACTTAGAAATCATGGAGGGGTCTGAAATTCACATTGTAGGTGCATTCCCACTCTGAGAGACAGAAT